CCAGGGTCGTGAGGTTAGCATCAGACCCGGCGGCGCCCAAAGCGGGCCATGATATCGGGCACTGATCGGCAGTCTTGGTACCACTGATGGGCAGAGTCTGGAAGAGGCTCAGGTGCGTGTCGCCGGTTCCAGGCGGGGTGTCGACAATGAGGACGTCCAGGTCCTTCCAGGCAACCTGCTTGGTGAGCTGCTCCATGGCCTTCATAACCTGTGTGTATGCACCAATGTGTGCGTGTGCGTGTGCGTGCCCCGCCGCCCCGCGCGCCGCCGGCGCCGGGCACAGGCCGGATGGAGTTAGTCGTGTCGAGTTGGAAATGCCTTGAGACAGGGAAAGAAAAAAGAAGCAGAAGAGCAGCGTATGGCTTCCAGGGAGGGGAGGAGGGGGGGGGGGACTGCTGCCGGGGACGAACCATCAAGCCGCGCCAGACAACAGCCGAGTCCGGCCCGACCAAATAGCCCATGGACATGGTCTGAAGACCGTAGTTTTGCACCGGAATGAGTTTGTTCGATTCTGCCCGCACGATGGGGCGGCACAGCCACGTCCATGGCCGGGAGTCACAAGGTCAGCAAAGGAGCAGCACCCACAGCCGGGCCGAAGGCCATGACATACCGTCGACCAGCGCCTCCATGCCCTCGGAGTTGACCATGCGAGGGATGCTTGGCCCGAAGACATCGGCATCCAGCAGGCCAACTCGCAGGCCGGAGTGGTGGTGGAGGGCGGCCGCCAGGTTGGTGGACACGGTGGACTTGCCGACGCCCCCCTTGCCGGAGGCCACGGTGATGATGTGCCGCACGCCCGGCAGGCCCTGACGCCGGGGAAGGCCTCGGGCCATGCGCGCCGCCTGGTGCGCCTTCAGAGCCTCGGCGCGGCTGCTTTGCGCCTCGCTGCCGCCCGAGCAGCCAGAATGCAGACGCCTCGGTGCCTGCCGCAGCGACGCGCCCATGGGCGAACGGAAGGGAAGCAGCCGGAACATGCTCAAGTCAAGGGGGAAAGGAGGGGAAAGGGCAAGTGCACGGGAGAAACACAGAGACAAGGGGCCGGAGGTGTGTGCATATGCCTCGGGGGGGGGGGCCCCTCACACCTGGCAGATGCTCCCTCGAAAAGACGGCCCGATCCGTCCGACCGCGAGATCTGGCAAGACGGGCTGACTGCGCCGCGCTGGTTGGGTTGGCATCTCGTGGGGTCTCGTCGGCCTGGCCCTGGTTGGCCCCGGTGCGATCGAGATCGCCCGCCGCGCGTGGCACCAGGCTCGCCCGCCTGCGTACGCACCTCGCGTCCCTCGTGCATGCACACACACACGCACACACACACACACACACACACACTCTCTCGCGCGCGCGCGCACACACACACACACACAGAAGCTGGTGTGTCACCTCCAGCGAAAGGCTCATCTGCCTCACTCGCTGCTGCTGCTGCTCCTCCTTGTCGACTCTTCCCCCCCCCCCCCTTTCTTTGGCTTCTCCTCTCTCCCTCTCCGTGTCCCTGTCGCTCCTCCTCTGCCCCTGGCCATCCCTCCCCGGCAAGGATGTCCGAAGACGCGGGCCTCTCCGACCAGGTGTCTCGCCTTTGTGTCGAGGCGTTCGACCGGCTCCCGCGCAAGGGCCGGCCGGCCGCCGACCAGTGGACCGTCCTCGCGGGCTTTGTGCTGGAAGACACGGCCATCAAGGCCAAGGTCCCGGCCATGCGAGTGATTGCTCTTGGGTCTGGAACGCGGGCGCTGCCCCGGCACTTGCTGCCGGATGGCCCGCCGGGTCTTGGCACCTCGTCTCTGGCCCCGGGGGACCTGGTGCTGGACATGCATGCGGAGGTGATGGCTCGTCGGTCGCTGGTGCGCTTTCTCCTGCTGGAACTCTGCCATGCACTTGGGGCGCCGAATCCCCAGGCGCCCGACACCCCCGCGCCCTTCGACCAGCCAATCCTCTTGCGCGCGTTGAAGCCCGATGCCCAGGTGTCCCCCTTCCGCTGGAATGCGCGCTACCGCCTGCATTTCTACGTCAGCCAGGCACCCTGCGGGGATTGCTGTGTTTTCCCCATGGCCCAGGGGGCGGAGCAGCTGGCCATCGACTCGGATTTGATCCACTTCACAGACCGGCGCTCGGATGGGCCGGAACCCGCCCCGGCCAACAAACGCCGGCGTCTGGAGCCCGAGGCCTCTGGCGCGCGGGACCCGGCCCAGCCCGCTGATCCCGGCGGCCAGACCAACAAAACCGGCTCCAAGGCTCTCCCTGGCGCCGGGGACCAGGATCAGGTGCGCCTTTCCCGATCCCCTGCCGCCCCCTGCCCCTGCAGTTGCATGTCCCCCTTTGCAAGGTGCCTAACTTTCGCCCATGTGCTCGCGCGCAGTTTGGCGAGGGCGTCCATGTTCTGCAGCCGGGCATTCTGCGCACGAAGCCCGGTCGCGGCCCCCCGACACACACCATGTCTTGCTCGGACAAGGTGGCCAAGTGGGTCGCGCTCGGGCCTCAAGGGGCCCTGCTGGCGGCGGTCCTTGAGCGCCCAGTTCCCATCGCCAGCATTCACATTGGCGAAATCTTCGACGATGCCGCGGCCAATCGAGCTCTCATCGGACGCGTAGGCGCCCTTCGCGCCGGCTCCCATCCGACCGTCCATCCTGCCCCGATGATCTTCGAGCACTCGCTGGCGGCCGTCACACGGGCCTCTCAGCCCGGGACGACCGTGCGCAAGAGCGAAGCCGGTATGGCCCCCCACCCCCGAGCACATGTGCCCCTGCCTTTCTCGTGTCTGACCCCGGCCCCGGTGTGACGACCTTCCTTGACGTCCCCGATGCACAGCCATCGGCTGGAATTCCCACGAACCATCAGTCGTCTGCGCCATCGCACAGGGCGTCAATCTTGGTGCCTCGCTCAAGAAGCACCCGGCCTCCAAGCTCCGGTATCTCCTTCCCTCCCCCCCCCCCCCCTCCCCCGATCGCCCGGCTGATGGCCATGTCACCACTGTTGCCCGCACATTCCCCCACACCGACGCCCCCCCCCCATGCACGCACCTGCGCTCACACATGCCCCTTGTCCGGCGCCTCCCAAAGATGCTCCCTGTCCAAGGTGTCTCTCTTCGCCCTGGGCGCGGTCATTCTCTCCCATCCCAGCATGGAGTCTGCCCTTCCGGCGGCCGGGCGAGACCTTTTCCGGCCATTGCGCACACTGTGGCTAGCCCCGGTCTCGCCTGCCGAGGGCCTCATGCATGTGCCACCAACCGTCGGCCAGGCGGCTGGCATGGCCGCCAAAATGCCCCCCACCCGGACGGCCCCTGGCATTCGGTATGCCGATGCCAAACGCCTTTCCGCCTGGTATGCCGACAGGCGCCGTGCCCTGCTTTCCGGCCCCTTCCTCGAATGGCTCGGCAACGGTGGCGCCAGACTCCCAAGCTCGCCTGCCACCGTCCCGCCTCCCCGTGATTTGCTCTCCTCTGTTCGTCTCTACGCTCGGCGCGAGCCGGATGATGCCAGCGTCCAGGACGACTTTCTCCTGCACTGGCCCGCCGACAAGGCGGGCCCCTAGGTAATAGACCATGTCGGGGGAGGGGCTGATCGATGGAAATGTTTGAAGAGTGTATTGCACCCTACCAACGGCTACGGTGATGTCCACCGCCGCCACCGGTGCTGCTACTGCTGCTGCTACGGCCGCGGTCGTCGCGACTCGGCGGACGATAACGATCGCGGTCGCGTCCGCGATCGCGATCACGCTCGAAGTCCCGACCGCGATCGCGGTCCCAGTCACGGTCACGGTCACGGTCACGGTTGCGATCACGGTCGCGGTCGCGGTCGCGGTCGCGGTCGCGGTCGCGCTCCCCCTCACCGCGGTGTCGCCGATCCAAGCCAGCCGGATGATAGGAGGACCCGTGGCGCGGGCCGGCCCCACCGCGCGGGTCGTCCCGGGCAGCAATGGCCGCGGCCGCTCGAGCGCCAATCGCGATCGCCGGGTTGGGGCTTGGCCGCGAGGACCCTGCCGTCGGGCCGGCCGCTTGCAATGTGCTGTTCAGGCGACCGGCGGTGGCCGAGGCGTTGCTCGGCGTCTCGGGCACAAAGTTCGCCGGGGCCAGACCCCCCTGCATGGAAGTCACCACGGCCCGCGAGACCGGCGTGTTGGCCTGCGACAGGGACCGCACCGACGCCTGGTGCGCCAGTTCCCGGAATGCCTGGATGCGCGAGGCCAGCGTGGTGCACATCGAGATCCGCGTGCTCAAGGCCGACCGGCGACAGCCATCATCAATGCGCGAGGCCCCGAAGAAGGTGTACCCGGTCCCGAGGATCGGGCTGCCGGAAGCCGAGTCCGTCAGGCCTCCAGCGGCCGCGGCCTGACTGGCCCCCTCGGCCGTGATGACAAGGTCCACCGGGTACTCGGCGACCGGTGGCATCCTCAAAACACAGGAATCCGCCAGGAAGGCATCGTTCGTGCCGTACTGACCCAGGTCGAAGGACTCCTGCACCCGCTCGTGGATGCTGGGATTGTGAAAGGCTCGCCGGCTTGACAGAAGCTTGGCATACACCCAGCCGGGGTTCCAGGGCTCGGCGATCTTGCGCGACATGGCCGCCACCGATTGGGCCCGGCGTTCGGCAATGGCGCCGGTGTCTTCAGATCGTTCTGGCAGGGCCACCAGGTCCAGGAAGCTCGAGGGCACCGACTCGGGACAGGCGAAGGCCGGCAGGCGACTGGCCGGGATTGGCGGCGGCGGCGGGTAAGAGGCGACAGCCGCCCCGAGCGGGGACCCCGAGGCAGGCGGCTGTGCTGCATCCTCCGCGGCCGGTGGCTCGGCACCGGAGGCGGGCGGGTCGGCCGCAGGCATGTCCGCACCCGGCGATGCGGGTCCCGAGCTGGAGGCAGTGGGTGCCTGCTCGGACTCAGAAGACATTGTTGGGCCGGCAATGGCAGGGAGAGAGGGAGAGAGGGGGGAGGGCACACCGGGGGAGGGGGAGGATGAACAAGAGGCACCCAGCAGAAAGAAGCGAAATGTGTGGAGGGCACCAGCGGGAGGCGAAGGGAGGGGAGGCGGGAGCCGCTCGGGGCAGGGCGGCAGGGAGACATTGCTCAGGCGGGTGGACGCACCCCGGCTGCCAGCACGGGTGGCTGATGAAGGCCAAGAGACGAGCGGTGCGGTGGCAGCTGGCTCTCACGCCCGAGTGCTCCTCCAGAATGCCGGGAAGTATGGCGATCCGTGTTTTTTTTCTTGTCAGAGAACGCCATCGCCCGACCGGGTCGCCGGCGGCCGCTGGACAGATCCTCATCGGCATCCAGCCTGGCGTCCGGTGGCGGGTCGTGCACCAGGCAAAGTCCCCCCCCCCTCAGCCGACCTCACCCCTCCGCCCGCCGCACCCTCTCCCTCGAGCCTCTCTCCCTCGAGCCTCGCTTCTCTCGCAGGCTCCCTCCCCCCCCTCCTCCCGCTCTTCCTCTCTCGAGATGGGCCGCAAGGGCAAGAACTCGACCACTCGTCACTGTTACTCCACCCGGGAGCGCCAGGTTCGCCAATCCCGTCGGCCATCCTTTCTTTGCTTCCCCTCGCCTTCTCTCCTTTCCCTCTCTCCCTTCTTCGCCACCCTTCGGTGCGGCCCTGTCGCTCCACGGCGCAGCCATGCCCCCGCCTCCATGCATGCTAACCCGACCTCCCTCCCCCGGCCAGCTGGACTCCCGGGAGTCCAAATGGGGAACACAGCGTCTGCGCCTGTCCGGGGACTCGCAGCACCGCTGGGACCACTGTTGGATTACCCAACAGCGCCCCTCGCGCCCGGTCATCACGTACGTCACCGTGTGCCGCCCACCGTCCCCCCCCCCCCATGCAAGCGGACTCACTCCATGCTGTGGTGTGCCCTCATGGTGCTGCCTCGCCAGTCCCGATGGGTACCTCTACGATTATGAGGCGATTTTGGAGAACCTGCTGGTCCAGCGCCAGCAGCTGGTCGCCGCGCGCGATGAGCAGGCCCAAGCACGCAAGCGCCAGGCCGACCGGCGCCAGCGCGAGCAGGTCCGCGATCGGGCCAAGCGCGTCCGGCAATTTGAGGCCCTCGACTCGGGTGTCATTTCGGCCAGCAGCACCGGCCCGGACCCGAAGAAGGCGATCGCCGTGTCCTCCGCCACCGGGCTGGACGTTCCGGCGGCTCACAGCACCGACAGCTCCCTCGAGTCGGCTGCCGATACGAGCGACCGGTCGGACGTCCGGTCGAGTTTCTGGATCCCCGAGAATGCCCCGGAGCTGGACTCCGACGAGGAGGACGCGCGCCTGCAGCAGGCACCCATTCCCAAGTCCCCCTCGTGCCCGATCTCTGGGCGCCCTCTGCGCATGAAAGACCTGATCCGGGTGGTCTTTACGCCGGTGTCCGACCCGGACTGCGCCCGGGGCGACACCCCCTGGATGTGCCCGGTCACCCATGAGACCCTGACAGATGTGTACGCCCTCTCCCCATGTGGCGCGGGGCTTGATCAGGATGCCGGGCTCCCCGGCCGCTCTGCCCTTTCTTCTGCCCCTCGCGTCCTGTCCACTCCCTTTCTCACATCCCCCCCCCCCCTCTCTCTCTCTCTCTCTCCCTCGCTCTTTCTCGGGCTGCTCCGTCTTCCCGGCTTAGGACGTCGGTGGTTGTCCTCCGGCAATCGGGCTACATTGTTTCGCGGGCAGCCCTGGACCAGGCCATTGCCAAGGACCGCCTTGATCCCTTCGCCCCGGCTGGCGCGCCAAAGATGGACCTCGCGCGTGATGTCATTCCCCTGAAGACCGGCGGCACATCCTTCGCCGCTTCGGCCGATGCTGATGCCCTCATCGTCAAGAAGGTCAACCCGGCATTCAATTAGTGGAGGATGGCCCGCCCGGGAGGCCGCAGGCTGCGCCTCCAGCCGGGTGTCTGCCCCTAGCACTGCCCCCCCCC